CATTTGGAAGCAAATAGACTGATTAGTGATAGTCAGCATGGTTTTATGCGAGCAAGGTTGTGCCTCACTAACTTGATTAAGTTTTTTGAGGAGGTGACAAAATAAGAATGAACGCGATCATGTTTGGATTTGGATTTGGATTAGGTTAAAATAGTGCCTTTTGAAGATTCATCTAAAACTTTGACTGTGTTCCTACTTTAAAAAGTGACACAATTTCTGCATTGCTGCTCTCTATTTGTGAAAAGGAAGCAGGATTTATTTCTTTCATTCCCATAACTAGTTGTCAAAAGGTCAGTGAACCACTGTTCGGGTGTGTTGACTTTACAGGAAAGAATTTAGAAAATCTTTATTGTTAAAGAAGGTGGAACAGCAACATTGTTGCCTAGCAATGTTTAGGTATCATTTAACATATTGCATTTGTTATGATTTGTTTGCAAGACATAATCCTTCCAGTTTTATCATGTGTTATTATTTTAATGTGAGTGTTATTTGGGCATGCAGGACTGTCTAAAAACTATTCCAGTGGAAATAGGCAGTCTTTGAGATGCAGAGGCTGTGGAGTTAAAAAGCTCCATTTTGGGTCATTGTATCATAGAACAGAAGGTGATCTTGTCTATCATATATATGCCACCTGTCCATAGGAGCAACTGGCCTGGTCTCACGGGCCCACCTTTCCTCATTTCTTCTTTTTTCCTCTCTCATTATTTCTAATTATTTTGACTTTGATTCACCAGATTTACTTCGCTGTGGTGTTGCATTGTTTATTTCTCTTTTTCTTCCATTGGTTAAGGAGATACAATTATATATTAATGATTACTATATGTTGTCAGTTCTGAGTTCCAGCAGTTAGTGGCTCAGTAATAATACAGTCTAAATGATGAGGTGAATATAAATCAAATTCATTGCACCTTTCCCTGCACCTTCCCCCAACGCAACCCAAAACCTTCTGAAATGCATCACTTCCCCAGTTTCTGAATTAATGGTTTTGACCTTTTTCTGTTTTTTTTATTTCTACATGGGATGCATGCTGTTGGCTAGGCTAGTGTTTATTGTCTGTCCTTCATTCCCTTGATTATTGGGCTGATCTTTACAATTGTTTTTGAACAAGTGCAAAATGGTTGTAATTCTCCAGTCCTCCAACATAACCCTTGAGTCCAGGGAAGATTGAAAGATTATTGACAGTGTTTTCGTAGTTTCCACTCACACTCCTTGGATGCATCTCATCTGGTCCTGGTGCTTATCATCTTTTGAGTATTTATTGCCAACTTATCCGCTATCACCACCTTATTAGTTTTAAACCCTTCCAGTGACTGGGTTTCCTCCTCTGTCACCATGGCTTAGGCAGCATCCGCCTCATGGTAAAGACGGATGCAAAGTATTCATTTAGCACCTCTGCTATTCCTCATGCTTCCACCTGTTTTTGTTCCCACTACCTTTTTACCATCTTTATTTTACTATAACGTGCCTGAGATTTCCGTATATGTGAGATGCCAGTCTTTCCTCCTAATTCCTCTTCTCTTATTTGCCTTCTCGCCTCACTTCTGATCCTTCTATATTCAGTTTGGCTCTCAACTGTGCTTTGTACTTGACACCTGTCATAAACAAACTTTTTCTTCTTTAATTTAATTTCTATCTCTACTATCATTTAGAGAGCTCTCAATTTGTTTGCCCTGCATTTGCGTTTTGAGGGAATATACCTTGACTGTACCAAATCCTCCTTCTTCTTGAAACCAGCACATTGATTCACTGCTGTGTCTGTTAGCAGCCTTTGGTCCCAGTTCTGTCCTTGACCCATTGAAGATGGCTGTCTGCCTGGTGAATATTCTTACTCTGGATTGCTCATTGTCCTTTGCACCATGCTCCTAAACATTTAAGATTCAATGATCACAGCTATCTCACTATCTACTCGGCCTTCCTCATTCCAAAGAATTGGCTCTGGCAGTGCTTCGTTTTTTTGTTGGACTGGATACGTATTACTGCAGGAACACTGGCCCCTCCCCTATATATTAGTCCTATCCCAGTTGATCTTTGTGTAATTAACGTCCCCATTATAGCATTGCACCTCTCTGTGGGGAGCCTTACTTAATATTTCCTGGAAGCCAATGTCATCATATCTATAGACATTTAATTACATCCACTTAAAAAAAATTTATTGGATTTATTAGACATGACCTACTCTACTTGGATGCATGCTGGCAATATCTTGAATTTCTCAAAGTGCTCAGTCACCCCTTTCTGAATTTTGTATTCTATAATTGTCTAACAACTGTTGTGGGAAAATGGGCCTATATTTTCCTTATTTCTCGCTTCCTTAAATATCAGGGTTACATTTACAATTTTCCAAATCAAAGGAATAATGCCTGAATCAATGAAGCTTGGGAAGATAATGTTCAAAGCATATACTTTTTCCATGCCTATTTCCTCTGTCAGGGTGGAAAATCTCCTCCAGTCCTGGAAGTCTTTGCTTTTTATAACTATTATTTTTCCAATGTGATTTTTTTTTGCTTGAGATAAATTGGTGAGTTCCAACCCTGTCCTTAATTGTTATTTTCCTTGGAATGTTGGTTGTACTATCATCTACTAATATTGTGAAGATTTGACATCGATTATTTATTTAAGAAGTTGGCAATTTCTTTTATTTTTGTTTCCAGCATCATCGACATTCATTTTTAAAGTGCTGACATGACAAATGACTGTTGCTTTTCATCTAACATAATAAGAGAAAACAATTTGGAATAACAAGCACCAAAACAGCCAAAGACACTCAGAATACTGGCCATAAATGAATAGATAGGATAATTAGTTGACTCTTCTATGCATGATTTGATTTAAAAATGTGTTTAGAAAATTTGTTTTGTGATGGCTTTTATATTTATATCACTATAAAGCAGATTCCACATTAGGGAGAAGGAGTAGTGTGAGATTGTTGGTGAATGGGAAATTAGGGCTGCCATTTTGGACTGAGATAAGAAGCTTCTTCACTCAGGCGATTGTGAAGTTTTGGATCCTTTACCCCAAGGAGCCATTGATGCTCAGTCGGTGATCACATTCAGAGCTGAGTGCAATTTAGATCTTAGGATGCTAAGCAAATCAAGCATTATGGAGATTGAATAGGAAAGTCGAGCTGAGGTTCAGGATCAGCCATGATTTTGCAAGAAGGCAAAGCAGGCTGTAGGGACATTGGACCTACTGCTGCTTCTGATTCCTACCTGTTGTAGTCAGAAGGGTGTCTTTATTGTTCTTATCAAGCTGCTTCTTGTTTATCCCTCTTCCTGTTCCTCTTACTTCCTCTGTGCTATCATCGTATATTTGGTCATAATGGCTGTGCTCCCATTGTGACAAATTGGTGTACAACAACAAATTATCGGAAGCGCTCTGGACTCCTATGAGTGAGATCAGTGGTGGGTAAGTTATTGGAGGTGATTCTGAAAGTTAGAATTTACATACTTTTGGAGAGGGAAGGATTCATTCGGGATAGTCAGCATGGTTTTTTGCGATGGAAATCGTGTCTGACAAACTTGATTGAGCTTTTTAATGAAGTAAAAAAAAATTGATGAGAGTAGAGCAATAGACATTGTTTACTTGGACTTCAGAAAGCCTTTGACAAGGTTCTACATGGTAGACTAATTAGTAAAGTTAGATCATATGGGATCATTGGATACAAAATTGGCTTGATGTTTGGAGACAGAGGGTGTTGATGGAGGGTTGTATTTTCAGACCGGAGGCCTGTGACCAGCGGTGTTCCATAGGAATTAGTGCTGGGTGCATTTTTGTTTGTCACTTTTATATAAATGATTTGGATGGGAATATAGGAGGCATTGTTAGTAAATTTGCAGATGACACCAGAATTGGTGGTGTAGAAGTATAGCGTTGAAGAAAGTTGTCAAAGATTAAAAGAGATCTTGATTAAATGGGTCAATTGGCTAGGAGTGGCAGATGGAGTTTAATTTGGATAAATGTGAGGTATTGTACTTTGGTTTAAAAAAAAGGGCAGGACTTATACAGTTGATGGTAGAGCCCTGGGTAGTGTTGTAGAACAGAGAGACCTAGGGGTTCAGTACATAATTCTTTGAAATTTGCATCACAGATAGACAGGGTGGTTAAGAAGGCATTTAGCACATTTGCTTTCATTGCTGAAACCTTTGAGTAGAGGAGTTGGGACTTTATGTTAAGGTTGCACAGGACATTGGTGAGGCCTCCTCTGTAGTGCTGTGTACACTTCTGGTTGCCCTGTTGTAGGAAGGGTATTATTAACCAGAAGAGAGTTCAGAAAAGATTTACCAGCATTTGGCTGGGAATGGAAGTTTTGAGATGTAAAAGTAGACTGGAAAGACGGGGGTTTTTTTTCTCAAGAGCGTAGGAGGTTGATGGTGACCTTTATTGAAGTTTATAAAATCATGAGGGGCATAGATAAGGTGAATGGCAAGGGTCTTTTCCATAGGGTGTGGGAGTTCAAACTTGGGGGCATATTTTTAAGGTGAGAGGAGAAACATTTGAAAAGGACATGAGGGGCAAATTTTTTACACAGAATAGTTCATGTGTGGACTGAACGGCCAGAGAAAGTGGTGGATACAGGTATAGCTACAATGTTTAAAAGACATTTGGATAAGTTCAGGAATAGGAAAGGTTTGGAGGGATATGGGCCAAGCACAGACAAATGGGACTGGTTTAGTTGGGAACATGGACTGGTTGGACTATGCTGTATGTGTCTATGATTCTGATTATATCGAGGCTCCTTCAGAGTATTTGAGGCACCAGAAGAATTGTTTCCATCTGCTAGTGGTCTGCTGTAGCATGTTTTGTGTTTCAAACACTTATGCCCTCATTAAAGTGGCATCAGGTGTACTAGCACCAGAAGTGTCTGTGCGCATGTCACAACCCCAACTTTTGGTGGATTAAAGGCCTTGTGCTGAAATATTGTGAACTCTAGAACTGTATTTCACAGCCTTTATTCTTAATCAAAATAAGTAATTTTTTTTCCCAAAAATATTTCCAACCAGGGCTTTCTAAAATTTCGCCTCCTGTGAACCTATCTGTAACATCTTATAATTTCCATACTGTCTTAAAATGGGATGTCGTTGATACATCTAGAAACTCGTGGTTTAATGTCGAAATCAAAAATTACAGGTAAGTTTTGTTTTTGTTTTACTTTTTTGTATATTTTAATTCAAACAATAATATTGTATTTTACAAGCAACCAAAATTCTGTTTTACAGTTTTTCACAATGGAGACCTTTCTTGCCTTGTTTAAATGTTTCAACACACCATTGTGATCTCAGTGATGGTTTTGTACCTGATGAGGATAAACTGGGCTATTATGCCAGAGTTAATATGGTTACAGAATCACAGAAGTCAGACTTTGTTTCCACTAATCGTTTCATATTTAAATTAAATGGTAAGCCGGAATTTAAAGGAATTAACTTTATTTTTATGTCTTTTAACTTTAATGTGCAGGACATGCAGTGTGTGGCTTTCTTTTGAGATAATGGCTGCTACATATAGACCATTCAGCAAAATGCCTTTTATAAGCTCCAAATCACAGTAATGAAATTTAACTCAATCCAGGAAGGTTTGATGACTTTGAAAACAAAATATCTATTTTAATATGTTGTTCTTAAATTTCTGCGGTATTTCCTAAAGCTTTGTATAAAAAGTGGCCCAATACAGCAGTCCCTCATTTAGCACACTTAATGTGACATGACAAAATGTGTGCTAAATGAAAATCTATAAGAAAAGACATTTGTTAGATTCCTCACTTGTGATTTTTTTTAATATCAAAAATCTGTTGGAAATATTTAAACATGACTGACCCAAATATCCTCTAAGTCATAATAACTCACTAACTCTATTATGAACAATATGGCAAAATAGGCAGCACGGTGGCTCAGTGGTTAGCAATGCTGGCTCACAGCATCTGGGTTTGAATCTACCCTTCGGCGACTGCTTGTGTGGAGTTTGCACATTCTTCCTGTGTCTGCATGGGCTTCCGCCAGATACTCTGGTTTCCTCCCACAGTCCAAAGATATACAGGTTATGTGGATTGGCCATGCTAAATTGTCCCTTAGTGGCCGGGGATGTGTAGGCTAGTGGGTTGGCCATGAAAATGTGGGGTTGCAAGGATAAAGTGGGGCTGGGTTTAGGTGGGATGCTCTGCAGAAGGTCAGTGTGGACTCAATGGGCTGTATGGCCTCTTGCTGCACTGCAGAGTTATATGAATATTAAGTTCGTCCATTATGGATTACTCGCCATATCCTACTTACAACTCTGCCCCGTCCCACCCTTTGCAGCGTGCCACCTCTTTAGCATCTTCCTTCTCCAGCCGAGCCAATCTTTTCCCTCACCAGATCGGCCCATCCACACATCCCCTCTGAGTTAGGGAGGCAGCAAGAGAAAGCTCGATGGATAGAAGAGGCTGTGGAACAAAGCAGTGAGAGGGAGGGTGAGGGAGGGAAGTGGCGAGACAGAGGGTAGGGAAGGTCATTCTCCCATATTATCCTGAGGAACTCCTGCAGCACTGTCCTGGGACTGAGTTGATTAACCTCCGGCAACTACAGTCATCTTCCTTTATGCTTGTTATGACTCCTGTCAAAAAAGTAATACATGCTGTTCAATATTTATTAAATATTTCATGAGGGAGTTATGATATGTTCAAAATTTGTAATTTTGATGTCTTGTATAGCCACTTTAGGTCCTCCTGATGTAAAGCTTAGAGCTGATAACAACCATATAATTGTGGAAGTAAATTACACTCTCCCTAACACCATAGTAAAAAGGAATGCAAAGATTTTGAAAACATCATTATTGTACAATATTTGGTACTGGCATCCTGAAAAACCGAAACTGGTAAGTTTTTAAAGTTTCCAAGTTTGTCTCCAATAATGCTACAAAAAATAAGATTTGCTTTTGAAAAATGTTCTTCTGTTTTTGGATAGGTGTTTATAGTAAAATGACCTGTTAGGGAAGAAAACCTGTTGATTTAACTTAGCATGGTCTGTACAGTCCCACACCAATGTGGTTGACTTAGATGTCTTTTGAATTGGCCAAGTGAGCAACGTGAAGAATAGCATGAATCTGTTTGCAGTGCTCTAATAAATATTGAACTTCGCAGAAATCTTCAGGTTATGTTTTAAAAACAAGTTGAATTGTAGAAGCTGATATAAATATTGATAACTTTTCTTAAATTATCTAGTTTAGAAATCACGTAGCTGTAGACTATTTTGCTCTGTCTTCCTCTGCTGTATATTTACTAATGGAATTCTTTTTTATTTGATGTGGAAATTCTGTCAATAAAATAAATTATTTCTATATATATATTTCCCCATTAACATTCATCACTGCCTCATTTTATCAGTGCAAATTATGTAGTAGCCCAAATTTAGTGTTATGATGCTAGATTAAAAGCCCACAAGGTCATCAATTGAAATATCATTTTGCAAGCTGTGAAATCGAATCCAGTAATGCACAGACAGAATATTAACAAGACTGCAAAACTGTTGTAAAATCCCAATTGTTCTCCAATGTCCTACATGTTTTTGCAACCATACATATTATTGTTCATGTTTAATTTTGTTTTTGAAATCACTGAAGTTGCCATCACAAGTATCAAAAGGTTGCTCCCAAAGTGGTAAAAAGCAGACCCACAGAGTATCCCCACTCAGAAGCTTGACATAGTCAAGTTATTAATGTTGTCACGGAGCCGTGGTACTCTTACTGTGATTTCAAGTTCCACATAATCTGAGGTGACGCATCAGTGCAGCGCTAAGGGAGTGCAGCCTTTCTGCTGAAATATTAAACTCAACTTTGCTTTTTATGTGGATATATGAGTGTTGGTCTTTCATGACCTTTTAAGCATTGCTAGAGCCACATAGAATACAATTAAGATGTCACACCAAGAAACGTATTTGCATTACACTGATATTTCTGGCTAAAAGCTTCATACATGTTAACACTAGCCTATCTAATCATGCAATTCAATTGTTACAGGAAGATAGCATTTGCAACAGCAAGAAGACACTACACAAAATTCAAGTACCAACTGGAGCTACTTGTGTATCTGCAGAAGTATATCTGCAAGACTTAAACCTGAAAGGAAATAGATCTCAAGAAATATGTTTGCAAATTCATCCAAGCAATGTGTCAGGTAATATGAATGCACAGTTTGGATTTTAAATGACTGGTTGCTGAAATTCAAAAGAAATGCAATCTGAGCAGATATTGACATTATGTAGCACAGTGCATTGCAAATGCTAAGTCTAAATTTAGGAGTTGATGTGGCTGTTGGACCTCAGCAAAATAAATTGCTGTACTGAGTAACCCTCGTCAATTAGTTCTGTTAGGTAGTGCTGGAACTTTTATCAGTACTCAAGAAATTGGTCATGTTTCTTTTATCAACTTTAGTAAGGTTGCTACTAAGCTATGACATTTTAATAATCCATTTACAAGTTACTGCTTCTTGCTGGACTGATAATTCTGCAAAAAGCTTCTGTGTGCCCAAAAATGTTTTTCGAAGTGCTTCTTCAATATCTTTTAAAGATTTTCAACTGCACCATTATAATAATTCTAAGATGATGTGGTTAATTTTTTTTGCCTTCTTCCATACTGTTAGCATCAAGCGCTGTATTGATTCAGACAATGTTACTTTCTAAGGGAATTTGATAAAAAGTAACTGGGCAATTGATTTGCACCTTGCACATATACGGCACACACCACATGCTATGCAACACATTTGCTTATATGACAAGTTCCCAAATTATGGATTTAGATCTGAAAGCAGGAAATGCTTCTTCACCCAAAATGTATCAATAAATGGACTAGACCTTCAGAGCAGCGGAAGTGAAAATCCCAGAATCATTTTGGAATGATTGCATGCTGGAAATAAGGGCTTTCTGTTACTAACAGGGCAAATATTCTTCCTTTTCAATAATGATTCTACTATCCTGTGACTAATATGGAATGTTGCAGTATATGGTAATGTCGTATAGCTATTTTAGAGACATCAAAATTATGCTCTATTATTGCCAACACTTATATTTCCAGACAAAGACTGGTTAATCTTCTAATAAATTATCTCGATACACTGTGCAAATTCTGTGATGTTTTAATTGGAAACCTTCTCTAGGGCAATAAATGGCAGCCTAGCCAGAGATGCTCAAATCCCATGAAAGCATAAAACTAAAACTGATTTGGCCATCCACTCAACAATATGCAGTAATATTTGCTGATAGCTTTCTGATGGCATCATTTATATATCATTGTGAACTGAAGCAACACAGCAAACTAGCTTGTTTTTAACATTGATCATGTTCACCACTTGATCAACCGGCACAGTCCTGATCCTATAGGTGCCGGTTAGTAAGAAGTTTGCTGTATTATTGAATTCACAGTGCATTCCAAATCATTGTACCATAAATGAAAATTGCCCCTGCTGCTGACTGATTTACCAATTACTTTACATCAGAGTCCTCTGGTTACTGATCATCCTGACAATGAAACAATGGATTTGGGTGCGGAAGTAGGGTTGAACGAGCAAAAATGTCATTGTGTCAAGAAGCAAGGTCTAACCTCCTAACTTCCAGGTCATAGAACTTCTTCAAAGATGCAGATTGATTATTAACATATGCTAATTGATCAGTTAAAATGATATATTGGTTGTCTTTTGCTCTATGTTTAATGGTGCATCCATGAGTTTCCTGAGCTTTCAGAAACTTGCCTGAGAAGCTCATGTCTTCTTATGGACTGAACCTTAATACGTCCTCTCTATCCTCAGCTGCTTTCTTACCTTCTGCGTAAGGATTTCTCCACATCATGTCTACTGAGAAGTTACTTTCTCTGTCATATCAGGTAGAGTGGCCCTTGGTTGCCTATATTGGACTTCACTGAAGCCAATTTTGTATCCAATTGACTTGACTAAATTTCTTTGACAAATCCAAACCAACCATTACTGATTTATCAATCTATTCTTCATCCACAAAGTGGTGGAAAGGATCATCAATAGTGCTATACAGTGACAAATGCAAATGACTAACCTGGTCTCTGATGTCCAGTTTGGGATCCACCAGGCCCGTTTAGCTCCTGACCTCATTACAGCCTCAGTCCAAACATTGACAAAAGAGCTAAATTCCAGTTGTGAGTTATTGCTGTTGATGTCCAGGCTGTATTTGACCTAGTAAGGAATGGGAATCAGAGGGAAGACTGTCCGTTGGTTAGAGTCATGCCTAGTATAAAGGAGATGATGATGGTTTTTGGACGTCAGTCATCTCAGTTCCAGGATATCTCTGCAGGAGTTCCTCAAGGTAGCATTTTACACTCAACCATTTTCATTCAACTGCTTCACCAGTGGCCCTTCTCTCTCATAAGATCATTAGTGGGGATGTTCTCAGAAGGTTCAGTATTCAGCACCATTCCTGATTCCTCAGATAATAAAGCAGTCCATGTCCAAATGGAGCAAGATGTGGGCAACATCCAGGATTGGACTGATGTGTGGCACGTGACATTTGAACTGCACAAGTGCTAGGCAATGACCAAGAAGAGAGAATCTAACCAGCTCTCTTGACATTCAGTAGTATTACTGCCACTGAATCTTCCACTACGGACGTCCTGGGAGTTACCATTGAGCAGAAACTGAATTAGACTTGTCTTTTGAATACAGTGGCTACAAGAGGAGGACAGAGGCTGGGAATGCTGCAAAGAATTACTCACCTCCTGATTCCCCAGAGCCAGTCAAGGGACAAGACATGTGTGTGACAGAATACATTGTGCTTGCCTGAATGGGTGCAGTGCCAACAATATTCGAGGAGCTTGACACCATCCAGAAGAAGGCAGCCCACTTTATTGGCTCCACATCCACATACATTCACTCCCTTCTCCACCAACATTGAGGAGCATCTTCCAAGCCATGACCTGTACCATCCAAGTGGGGAAAAAAGCAGCCAGTGTGTGGGAACAGCATCACCTGCACATTCTTCTCCGGACCTCTCACCATCCTCACTTGGAAATATGTTCCTTTGCTGTCACTGAGTCAAAATCCTGTAATTTCTTACCTAACAGTACTACATGTGCTCCAATACCCCAAGGACTGCAACAGTTCAAGAGGCAACTCGCCTCCACCTTCTGGAGGGCAATTAGGGATTTTCAATCAATGTTGGCCTAGTTAGGAGGAGGGAGGAGACAAAAAATGAGTAATTCTTGGCGTCGCAGTGTCTCTGTCTGCTCCTATGATGCTGCTTGGCCTGCTGTGTTCATCCAGCCCTGCACCTTGTTGTCTCAGTAATTCTTGGCGGTTAGTTTAAGGTTTGCCATTGAGGAAAATGTTAGAGTATTGTAAAGGATGTAATAGCAGAGCATTTGGATGTGTGTAGTTTAATTGGGCAGAGGTAATATGGTTTCATAAAGGGGAAATCATGCCCATCAAAGTTATTAGAGTTCTTTGAGGCAATATTAAGCAGGAAAACAATAAAGGGGAAACAAGTAGATGAAATATATTTGGATTTCCAAGAAGTGTTCACCAGATACTTACCCTTGGCTACTTTATAAGATAAGAGCCCATGGTGTTAGGGATCTCCTGTTAGCGTGGATGGAGGATTGGCTGATGAATAGCAGACAGTGAGTGGGGGGATTTTCAGGACAACAAGTTGTAACTAGCAGAGTGCCACATGGATCAGTGCTTTGGCCACAATTATTTGCAATATATATTAATGACTTGAATGGGGAAAGTGAATGTACTCTTAGCAAATTTGCAGAGTACACAAGAAAAAATGTGGGAAAGTAAGTGGTGAGGAGTGATACAAAGCACCTATGATGGGATATAGAACACAAGAACACAAGAACTAGGAGCAGGAATAGGCCGTCTGGCCCTTCGAGCCTGCTCCGCCATTCAATAAGATCATGGCTGATCCTTTCGTGGACTCAGATCCACTTACCCGCGTTCTCACCGTATCCCTTAATTCCTTAATTGTTCAAAAAAAACTACCTTTTTTTTAAAAGCGTTTACTGAAGTAGCGTCAACTACTTCACTGGGCAAGGAATTCCACAGATTAACAACCCTCTGGGTGAAGAAATTCCTTCTCAATTCAGTCCTAAGTTACGTGAGTAGGCAAACAAACTGACACATGAATAAAATATGACACTGTGCACTTTGGCAAGGACAATGACAAACTGATAAAGAAGGTAAAAGCTCATGGGATCCAGGGCAACTGGAAGGTTGGCCAAGTTAGGGACGGCACAGTGTCTCAGTGGTTAGCACAGCGCCAGGGACCCAGGTTTGATTCCACCCACGGGCAGCTGTCTGTGTGGAGTTTGCACATTCTCCCCGTGTCTGCGTGGGTTTCCTCCGGGTGCTCTGGTTTCCTCCCACAGTCCAAAGATGTGCAGGCAAGGTGGACTGGCCATGTTAAATTGCCCGTAGTGTTCAGGGATGTGTAGATTAGGTGGGTTACAGGGAGGATGGGTCTGGGTGGAATGGTCTGAGGGTCGGTGTAGACTTGTTGGGCCGAAGGGCCTGTTTCCACACTGTAGGGATTCTACCTATCTATCTATCTATCTATTGAATCCAAAATTGACTTAGTGACAGAGGATAGTGGTAGAAGGCTGTTTGTGTGACTGGGGCCTGGTGTGCAGTGGCATACCATAGGGATCAGTGCTGGGTCCTTTATTATTTGTTTGGATAATCTTGGTTGTTTTCTTAGGAGCAGAGAAGGTTAAGGAGAACCTGATAGAGGTGTATAAGATTGAGGAGCATAGACAGGTTGAGAAGAAAGCGATGTGTCCTTCAGTTGTTGGGTCTGTGACAAGGGGCCATAATTTTAAAGTGAAAGGCAGGAAGTTTAGAGGGAATTTGAGGATGATGGGGATCTGGAAGGGTAATAGACATGGGGAAACCTCAACCTTTAAAAAGCACGCAGATGAGCGCTTGAATATCAGAATATTCAAGGCTGTGGGCCTATTGTGGGAAAGTAGGAGGGGCATAGATGGTATATTTTTTGGCAGTAGAGACTCAGTGACCAGAGGACATAATCTCAAAGTAAGGGTCTCCTTGCTGTGACTGGAATGAGGAGGAATTTCTTATCTGAGGGTAGTGAATCTGTGGAATTAATCGCCACAGAGGGCAGTTGAGGCTGGGTCATTTACATATGGTTAAGATTG